GGTAATGCTGGTAGGGTTGAGGGATCTGCTGCAGAGGATACTGATGCGGCACACCTGCGTCCACACTCAGATCCCTAAACACACACATTTTCATTTTATTAAGAGCTATTTAAAAACAACACAATCAGCAGCAGGGAATTTATGTGTGGTACATTATTTCCCCTTTTTGACCATAAAGATAATTCCTAAACGTCAAGGAAGTCGTTTACTATGGAAGCTTACTTCTGCCACAGAAAAAAAAAAATTTAAAAAGATAATTGTGACTTTTTATCTTGCAATTCTGAGAAAAAAAAAGTCAGAACTGCGTGAAAAAAGTAAAGTCTCAATTATAATTAATTTTGAATTTTTTTAAATTCTGTGGCGGGGAAAAAAAACAGATTTGAGAAATGTAAACTCAGAATTCCAAGAAAAAAATAATTCAGAATTTCAAGATGTAAACTCAGAATTCTGATGAAAGAGGTCTTAACTGTGAGATTTAAACTCAGAATTATGAGTTTCCAACTTGCAATTGCAAAATATAAACTTCACAATTGCAAGTTATAAGAAATGCAGATAAAAAAAGTTTGAACTGTGAGTTAGAAACTTACAGTTATGAGGAAAAATCCTAATTCTGAGATTAAAAAGTCACAAATTACCTATTTGGTGGCCGAAATAAGTTTACTATTGCTTTGAATGCGAGTGTGTTTGCAGAACTCACCAGTCAGTGCCTTCCGCCAGGTATCTGGGCTGCTGTGGGATTGGCTGAGGGGCGTGGAGGGGCGGAGCATATTCATATCCTGGGCGTAACCGGTGAGTGTTCAGTGGGACTCGCTCTTGTGTGCGTCTGAAGAGATAGAGATAGAGGAATAGAATAGATCTTTTATTTATCAATTGTTTTGTGTGTTTTTCCTTACTGTGTCTTTTATCTTAATGAAGGATAACTAAACATTTTTAAGTGTCCAAAGACTTTTTTTCGTATCATTGTATGTGGACATGTGTGTTTTGTACCTGCGCTGCAGTAGCTGTTGCTGGATGAGGTATTGCTGCTGTAAGGCCTGAGGTAGGAAAGGGGGCGGGACTTCCTGGTACTGAGGCGGGGCGAGGGGAGGGGGCGGGAACTCAGC